GGAAGAGAGAAGGAAGGAAATACAAAAAGGAAGGAAGGAAGAGGAAGGAGAAAGAGGGAGGAGAGGAAAGAGGGAAGGATGGAATGGATGGATGAAGGAGGAAAGAAAGAAGGAAGAAAGAAAGGAAAAAAGGGTGGAAGGGAAGAGGGGAAGGAGGGAGGGAAGAGAGAAGGAAGGAAATACAAAAAGTGTTTTTAAACTGCTTTAGATCTACAGCAGGACTGTGCAAACTTGGGCCCTCCAGGTGTTTTGGACTTCAACTCCCACAATTCCTAACAGCCCGGCTGTTAGGAATTGTGGGAGTTGAAGTCCAAAACACCTGGAGGGCTCAAGTTTGCACAGGCCTGCTATATACCAATATAGCAGCTATGGCCTGTCGGTGCTTTTGATCCCTGCCAAATATGTGCCAACTACCACCTTCCCTTAACAAAAGGAAAGGGCATGATGGAGCTTGCAGTTGCCATGAAAGGGATGGTCCTTCTGCTTGGCTGAAGCAGGGCTGCGTTGCTAGGCGACGCCAGTAAACAAGGTCCATCATCATGTCTAACTTGCAGTTTCTGGAGCTGCCCAAGGGAGCTGTCGTCTCTGTGAGTTCCCATTCCTGTCATTGACTCTGCTAAGCAACCCTGGGTGGTTTATTTAGCTCTCCTCCTCCTCCTCCTCCTTGTTCCTCCTTTTCTTCCTCCTTTTCTTCCTCCTCTTCTCCTTCCTTCTCTTCCTCCTCGTCTCCTAATTCTTCCTCTTCCATCTCCTTTCTCTTTTCCCTCCTCTATTTCTTTTTTCTCCTCCTGTTTTTCTTACTCTTCTAACTCCTCCTTCCTTTTCCTCCTCTTCTTCTCCTTCCTCTTCCTTTCTTCCTCTTCTCCCTCCTCTACTTCTTCCTCTTCCCTCTTCCTTTCCTTCTCCTTCTTTTCTTCCTCTTCTGTATCCTGTCATGGCAATGAATTTACTTTATTTAAATCACTTTGTAATTTATTTTAATGTGATTTTACCAAATTTATTATTTGTATCAAGTTTTACGTTCCTAAATGTATTTCTTCCTCTTCTGTATCCTGTCATGGCGATGAACTTACTTTATTTAAATCACTTTGTAATTTAATTTAATGGGATTTTACCAAAGTTATTATTTGTATCAAGTTTTACGTTCTTAAATGTATTTTTTATCTAACGATTACAGGAGTTTTGGGTTAGCAGAAACAGCTTGGAGCTCAAATTGGCTTTGTTCAGTCTATCATGTATTATTATAGTTATTATTATTATTATTATTATTATTATTATTATTATTATTATTCCTGACTTTTTTCCTGAGGAACTTGAGTCCCAAAGCACATCACAACTTTAAAAAAAACTATAAAATTTACAAAACCCAAATACTAGAAAGAATTAAATATTACTGTTGTTAAAACAACCCAGTTAAAGAAACACAAAACAAACAAACAACGGCTTTGTTCAGTCTATCATGTATTATTATAGTTGTTGTTGTTGTTGTTGTTGTTATTATTATTATTATTATTATTCCTGACTTTTTTTCTCAGGAACTTGAGTCCCAAAGCACATCAAAACCTTAAAAAAAACTATACAATTTACAAAACCCAAATACTAAAAAGAATTAAATATTACTGTTATTAAAACAACCTAGTTAAACTAACACAAAAAAACAAACAATGGTTTTGTTCAGTCTATCGTGTATTATTATAGTTGTTGTTATTATTATTCCTGACTTTTTTCTCAGAAACTTGAGTCCCAAAGCACATCCCAACCTTAAAAAAGACCTATACAATTTAGAAAACCCAAATACTAAAAAGAATTAAATATTGCTGTTATTAAAACAACCCAGTTAAAGTAACACAAAACAAACAAACAATGGTTTTGGTCAGTCTATCATGTATTATTATAGTTGTTGTTGTTGTTATTATTATTATTATTATTATTATTGACTTTTTTTCTCAGGAACTTGAGTCCCAAAGCACATCACAACCTTTTAAAAAAAACTATACAATTTACAAAACCCAAATACTAAAAAGAATTAAATATTAATGTTGTTAAAACAACCCAGTTAAAGTAACACAAAACAAACAAACAATGGTTTTGTTCAGTCTATCATGTATTATTATAGTTGTTGTTGTTGTTGTTGTTATTATTATTATTATTGACTTTTTTCTCAGGAACTTGAGTCCCAAAGCACATCAAAACCTTAAAAAAAAACTACACAATTTACAAAACCCAAATACTAAAAAGAATTAAATATTACTGTTATTAAAACAACCCAGTTAAAGTAACACAAAACAAACAAACAATGGTTTTGTTCAGTCTATCATGTATTATTATAGTTGTTGTTGTTGTTGTTGTTATTATTATTATTATTGACTTTTTTCTCAGGAACTTGAGTCCCAAAGCACATCAAAACCTTAAAAAAAACTACACAATTTACAAAACCCAAATACTAAAAAGAATTAAATATTACTGTTATTAAAACAACCCAGTTAAAGTAACACAAAACAAACAAACAATGGTTTTGTTCAGTCTATCGTGTATTATTATAGTTGTTGTTATTATTATTATTATTATTATTATTATTATTATTATTATTATTATTATTCCTGACTTTTTTCTCAGGAACTTGAGTCCTAAAACACATCACAACCTTAAAAATACTATACAATTTACAAAACTCGACTACTAAAAAGAATTAAATATTACTGTTGTTAAAACAACCCAGTTAAAGTAACACAAAACAAACAAACAATGGTTTTGTTCAATCTATCATGTATTATTATAGTTGTTGTTGTTGTTATTATTATTATTATTATTATTATTATTATTATTATTGACTTTTTTCTCAGGAACATGAGTCCCAAAGCACATCAAAACCTTAAAAAAACTATACAATTTACAAAACCCAAATACTAAAAAGAATTAAATATTACTGTTGTTAAAACAACCCAGTTAAAGTAACCCAAAACAAACAACAACAATAATAAAAACTTTATGTTTCAACTGACCACCTTGATTAGCATTTGATAGCCTGGCAGTGCCTGGAGCAATCTTTTGAAATCCACAAGAAGCATGTGGACAATTTCAACAGAAAGGAGGAAACCATGAAAATGAACAAAATCTGGCTACCAGTATTAAAAAAAACTCTTAAAAAAAACAACAGAGGGGAAACAATCTGAGACATCTAATCACCTCTCAACAAAAGATTGCCCCAGGCACTGCCAGGCCATCAAATGCTAATCAAGGTGGTCAGTTGAAACATTCACACATAGCTCCAACAGACAAGAGTCCTTTGTCCCACCCTGGTCATTCCACAGATATATAAACCCATTTTCCTAGTTCCAACAGACCTCACTACCTCTGAGGATGCTTGCCATAGATGTAGGCAAAATGTCAGGAGAGAATGCCTCTAGAACATGGCCATATAGCCCGAAAAAACCTACAACAACCCAGTGGGTATAAAACTATGAAGAATAATTCAAGCATCTCTACAACCAGGATGGGAATTCTCCCAGCATCCCACAAAATGCATAAATTTAGTACTGTGTAACCAAAGTGTTTGTGACCAGAAGTGTTTTGGGTTTCATATCCCTCCCCCCAGATATTGGAATATGTATATTTACATATGTGTACATTATGAGATGTCTTGGAGATGGGACCCAAGTCTAAACACAACATTCATATATGTTTCAAATACACCTTCTACACATAGCTTGAGGATAATTTTAAACACTATATTCATTCGTAATAATTTGAATATAAAACAAAGTTTTGTGCAAGCTGGGCCACCAAAAGGCAAAGACGTCAACTATTTCAGCCATCCATGTGGACAATTTCAACATTTGGAAGGTTTCTTATTTCCAGGTAAGGGAAAATTAACCTATAGTTAGGTTCTTGTGGGTTTTTTCGGGCTATAGAGCCATGTTCTAGAGGCATTTCTCCTGACGTTTCGCCTGCATCTATGGCAAGCATCCTCAGAGGTAGTGAGGTCACTACCATGACTCTATAGTCATGGCTCTATAGCCCGGAAAAACCCACAAGAACCTAGTGATTCCAGCCATGAAAGCCTTCGACAATACAACCTATAGCTGTATTTGGTTAAATATGTGTTAATAAAATAAATAATTTTGAAGTAATTATATGATTCTTGAGTGGTGCTCCATGCAGTCATGCCGGCCACATGACCTTGGAGATGTCTAGGGACAATGCCAGCTCTTCCGCATAGAAATGGAGATGAGCACCAACCCCCAGAGTCGGACACGACTCGACTTAATGTCAGGGGAAAATCTTTACCTTTACCTGAAGGCTTCTGAACTCAAGAACTTCTAACTGCTGGTTGATCATTAAAGTTTCATGTAGTAATACCTGTGTACTAAAATTTTGCAGATAACAAAAGTTACTGCTGGTATATGGTACTGGAAAGATGATACGCGGACGCTGGAATTTTCATGGTAAGGATCCATATTGTGCATGCATGTGTCTTGTTGTTTGTTGTTGTTATATACCTGGAGATTGACTGGTTGGATCTATACTGCCCTATCCCAAGATCTGATTCCAGATTATCTTTTATTCCAGATTATGTGGTAGTGTAGTCAATTTTGATAGTTTATACCTTTTTTTTAAATCAATGGCATTGAATTGTTGCCAAAACTGTGAACCACCCTGAGTCCCCTTTGTTGTTGAGGAGGGCGTTATACAAATACCACAAATCTATATAAATAAAAATGTAATGTTCCTTTGTGAGATTAACATAACTCAAAAACCACTGGACGAATTGACACCAAATTTGGACACAAGACACCTATCAGGACAACAAGTGACCATCACTCATAAAACAGTGAAAAACACAGCAGAAGAGACTTAACAAGCAAAAAAAATATACATTACACCGCATGCACAAAACCACATATATACACATATATATACACACAAAACACATATACACAGACTGGGCCACAGCAACATGTGGCAAGGGACGGCTAGCCAATAAATAAATAAATAAACAAACAAACAAACAAATAAATAAATAAATAAATGCACTGCCATATAATCCAGTTCAAAGCAGATAATCTGGATTTTATATAGCAGTGTAGAAGGGGCCTAGGTCTCTCTCATTGGTCTCATGATTTGGTGTCTCATCCTTTTTTGTTTTTACAAAATATTATTGAATTTCCTAAAAATGACAACTGAGTGCTATCAGTGCTATCAGTGCTAGGTATTACAAATAGTTTATGGTGCTAAGGGAGGAAACCGGGACAGCTCTGAGACAAAATATTATTATTTTATGCTATTGGATGTATACAGCCCCTAAGAGGTGACGCGAGAGCTATCTTTAAACGTCTGAAGGGATTTTTTTTTGTCGTGTCAGGAGCGACCTGAGAAACTGCAAGTCGCTTCTGGTGTGAGAGAATTGGCCGTCTGCAAGGACGTTGCCCAGGGGACGGGATATATATCATGCAGAAGATGGATATATATCATGCAGAAGATGGAGCAAGTTTGTTTTCTGATGCTCTGGAGACTAGAACATGAACCAACAGATCTGGGATACAAGTAAAGAGATTCCATCTAAACATTAGGAAGAACTTGTTTACTGTAAGAGCGGTTTGACAGTGAAATAAAGTAACTTGGAGGGCTGAGGATGTCAGAAATATTAAAATTAACTGGGTATTTTAAATTACAAAAATGTGAGTCAAGCACTGTAAGGGTTAAATAGATGCAATGACCCAGCAAAAGCTGCAGTTCAATCAATATAAGCAGGTGTGCCTGTAGCTTAGTATAACTCAGTGTTAGTTGACCTCAGTATGCAGAGACTTCAGTCTGAGAGAGGCCTCAGTGTGAGGTAGGCCTCAGAGTTAGTAGGCCTCAGTTTGTGAGAATCCTGGTGTGAGGATGGCCTGGTGTGAGAATGTCCTGGTATGAGAAGTTTTGGTGAGAGAAGCCCCAGGTTGAAGACCTCATGTGTGAACCTCCAGTGCGAAGGCTGCTGTGTGTAAAAGGCTACTGTGCGACTTTTCTGTGTACGTTTAGTGTGAGGAGAGGCTCTGTAAGAGTAAAACTTTTTATCTGCGTGAGAAAGAAGTATGAAGAACTGTGTTATGGAAACCTTGTTCTCGTAAATAGTCCAACCATATTATTTTACTACAAAGAAATATACTTACCTGGAATATTGTGTCCAATTCTGGGCACCACAATTCAAGAGAGATATTGACAAGCTGGAATGTGTCCAGAGGAGAGTGACTAAAATGATAAAAGGTATGGAGAACAAGCCCTATGAGGAGCGGCTTAAGGAGCTGGGCATGTTTAGCCTGAAGAAGAGAAGGCTGAGAGGAGATATGATAGCCATGTATAAATATGTGAGAGGAAGCCACAGGGAGGAGGGAGCAAGCTTGTTTTCTGCTTCCCTGGAGACTAGGACGCGGAACAATGGCTTCAAACTACAAGAAAGGAGATTTCATCTGAACATGAGGAAGAACTTCCTGACTGTGAGAGCCGTTCAGCAGTGGAACTCTCTGCCCTGGAGTGTGGTGGAGGCTCCTTCTTTGGAAGCTTTTAAACAGAGGCTGGATGGCCATCTGTCAGGAGTGATTTGAATGCAACATTCCTGCTTCTTGGCAGGGGGTTGGACTGGATGACTCATAAGGTCTCTTCCAACTCTTTGATTCTATGATTCTATGAAAGGAAAGCTTCCTAAGGAAGATATAGCATTTGCCTGTGTGTTTTTTTTTTTTGTTCTTTTATCATTTTGGGCCATTGGTGCTGGGTCACGCTGAATCTAATAAGTTACTCTGCAGTGCATTTATGAGGAGGGTCTTTTGTTAATAAGCCCACTCATCCAACAGGGATTCTTCTTCTTTAGAGGTCTTCAAACACAGGTTGGAGGAGCATTCCTTAGGAGTGCTGCAGATCCCTTCTACACTGCCACATAATCCAGATTCTCAATGCAGATAATCCACATTATCTGCTTTGAACTGGATTATATGAATCTACATTGCCATATAATCCAGTTCAAAGCAAATAATCTGGATTTTATATGGCAGTGTAGAAGGGGGCATAGTTATGCATCCCCGCATGGCAGGGCATTGGACTCCTTGGCCAAATTTCTGATTACTGGGTTGTTGTAGGTTTTCCAGGCTATATGGCCATGTTCTAGAGGCATTTTCTCCTGACGTTTCGCCTGCATCTATGGCAAGCATCCTCAGAGGTAGTGAGGTCTGTTGCCCATAGTCCTGCTTAATAGATGCAGGCAAAACGTCAGGAGAAATGCCTCTAGAACATGGCCATATAGCCCGGAAAAACCTACAACAACCCAGTGATTCCGGCCATGAAAGCCTTCGATAACACATATGACTCTTATTTCTTTCATTTTTCAGTGCCTATCCTAAGGATGATGCTAAGGAACAAAAGGAGAAAAGTAAAAAAGGCAGCAAGGTTATCCATTTCCAGGATGTTCCATCAAAACCAATGGAAAGGTAATACCATATGGTCTTAAAGGAACTCTCACAGCATCAAGTGTACAACAACCCATAGCTTTGTAGAGCCAGCGTGTAAACATTCCTTGGGATACAAAGTAATTTTTAAAAGTTATCTTTTTTGTACTACTCCACAAAGGATCCCTCCGGCCAACAGACTTGGATCTTAGTAGTTGTCCCAAAATGATATATCTAAGCTTTCATTCAAATCCTAGTCAAGTCCCAAGGGGAAGTTTAGAAAGGCCTAGGTCAAGCATGGGCAAACTTTCTAACTTGGTGGCCACATGCTAGCACTCCCTGCTAGGAGGACTGGCTGCCCGAGGAAGGAAGGAAGGAAGGAAGGAAGGAAGGAAGGAAGGAAGGAAGGAAGGAAGGAAGGAAGGAAGGAAGGAAGGGAGGGAAGGAAGGGAAGGAAGGGAAGGAGGAAGGAAAGAGAGAAGGAAGGAAGAAGGAAAGGAGGAAGGGAAGCATGGAAGGAAAGAAGAGAAGGATAAAGGAGCGAAGCAAGGAAAGATAAAAGAGAAGGAAGGAAGGAGAAAGAGAGTGGGAAGGAAGGAAGGAAGGGTGGAAAGGAAGGATGGAAGGAGAAAGAGGGAGAGAGGGAAGGAAGGAAGGAAGGGTGGAAAGGAAGGATGAAGGAGAAAGAGGGAGAGAGGAAAGGAAGGAAGAGGGAAAGAAGGAAAGACAAGGAAAGGTATGAAGAGAAAGAGGAAGGAAAGAACAGAAGGATAAAAGAGAGAAGCAAGGAAAAATAAAGGGAAGGATGGAAGGAGGAAAGAGAGGAGAGGAAGGAAGGAAGGAAGGAAGGAAGGAAGGAAGAAGGAAGGAAGGAAGGAGAAGGAAGGTGGAAAGGAAGGAGGAAGGGAGAAAGAGGGAGGAGAGGGAAGGAAGGAAAGAAGAAGGAAGAAAGGGAAAGGAAGGGAGGAAGAGAAGGAAGGAAAGAAGAGAAGGATAAAGGAAAGAGAGAAGGAAGGAAAGAAAGAGAGAAGGAAGGAAAGAGAAAGAGGAGAGGGGAAGGAGGAAGGAAGAAGGATGAAAGGGTGGAAGGGAAAAAGAGAAAGAGGAAGAAGGAGGAAGGGAGGAGGAAGGAAAGAGAGAAGTAAGGAAAAATGAAAAGGAAGGAAGGGAAGGGAAGGGGAAAGGAGGAAGGAAAGAGAGAAGGAAGGAGGGATGAAAGGGTAGAAGGGAATAGAGGGAGGGAGAAAGAGGGAAGGGAGGAGGAAAGAAAGGATGGGAAGGGAAGGGGAAAGGAGAAAAAGGGTGGGAAGAAGGAAGGAAAGAGAGAAGGAAGGATGAAAGGGTGGAAGGGGACAGAGGGGGAAGGGAGGGAGGAAAGGAAGGAAAAGAAGGATGGATGAATGGAAAGGAGAAAAAGGGTGGGAAGAAGGTAGGAAAGAGAGAAGGAAGGAAGGATAGCATGGTGAGAGACAGGAGGGCCTGAGAAAAGAGGCCAAAGGGCTTTATCTGGCCCCCAGGCCTGGGTTTACCCATACCTGGCCTAAGTTCTTATTTAAAATTTTATTTCCTTTAAAATTGATCAGTAAAATATGGTAAAACAGACCTTTCCTGGCTTGCGACCTTGGAGGCCTGATATGAATCAGACTAGACTGGGTGGGCAAATAGTCTGACCTAATGTAAGCAGCTTTCTGCAACCTTGATAGTAATTAAATTCTATTTGTGACACAGGTTATTATTTTTTAAATGGTGGTTACTGGATACAAAATGTGATTTGCAATTGAAGATGTAATTTGACCTTCTTGCTTGAGACTGGGCATGCCATTAGGTATTAGAGAACAGGTTGACCCAGAGTTATCATTGCATGGCAATATACTGCTTTACCTTGTATATTATTGTGCTTTTAACATTGAAGCAATGTCCTTCAGATTTTCCGCCCGGAGCACCAATATTTCCAGGGCTATTTCAGCTTCTGGTATTTTTCCGCTTCTGGGAAATTGCTAGTTGCATCAATTTCCATGTTTTGTAATAAGGGAACAAAGGAAACCTACTTGAAGTTTATGCATATTGTCTTGCTCAGAGGAAAAGGTTTCGCCAGAGAATTTGGCATCAATAAGCACTCAAAGTGGGTTAGCGAGTAAATAATATTGTTCTAGTTAGAGGATCTGGAGAGTAAATGAATACTGGCATTTCCAAGATCAAGCAATGCAAAGATACAGAATGGGGGACGCCTGGCTCGAGAGCAGTACGTGTGAAAAAGATCTTGGACTCCTCGTGGACAACAAGTTAAACATGAGCCAACAATGTGATGTGGCGGCAAAAAAAGCCAATGGGATTTTGGCCTGCATCAATAGGAGCATAGTGTCTAGATCTAGGGAAGTAATGCTACCCCTCTATTCTGCTTTGGTTAGACCACACCTGGAATATTGTGTCCAATTCTGGGCACCACAATTCAAGAGAGATATGGACAAGCTGGAATGTGTCCAGAGGAGGGCGACTAAAATGATCAAGGGTCTGGAGAACAAGCCCTATGAGGAGCGGCTTAAGGAGCTGGGCATGTTTAGCCTGAAGAAGAGAAGGCTGAGAGGAGATATGATGGCCATGTATAAATATGTGAGAGGAAGCCACAGGGAGGAGGGAGCAAGCTTGTTTTCTGCTTCCTGGAGACTAGGACGCGGAACAATGGCTTCAAACTACAAGAAAGGAGATTCCATCTGAACATGAGGAAGAACTTCCTGACTGCGAGAGCCGCTCAGCAGTGGAACTCTCTGCCGGGGTGTGTGGTGGAGGCTCCTTCTTTGGCCATCTGTCAGGGGTGATTTGAATGCAACATTCCTGCTTCTTGGCAGGGGGTTGGACTGGATGGCCCATGAGGTCTCTTCCAACTCTTTGATTCTATGATTCTATGAAGCATGGTTAAGCATTCATCGTGTGTAGAAAGACGTTTTGTTCTGCTAACTTTGCTAAAACAAACATATTGTCCCTCTTGTATCCATTGTAGAAAGAGCTGCCATGATTTCCTATATTGGGGGAAAGGCGGGATAAAGAGAAAGCAGGCAAGCAAATAAACAAACAACAAAGAGATACATCCCCTAAATTATTAGAGAGATCTATGTGCTCTGGGTTGTGCGTGGTGTGCAAAATTTCCACATGGAGGTGTGGAAAGAGATTTGGGCAAACTGAGATAAGAATTTTTCTTGAACCAACTTCTACAGACAGTTCCCTTCTTTGAAACCTTTGCTCCCTGTGTAACTTAGATGATCGGTAATACCCACTTTTTTGCATTGTTTTTGCACCATAAACTCTTTTTCTTTCCATCGTATTTGCAGACAAGGTCCTATTTTTTTCCGAGATATATATCCTACACAAAACCCTTCCCAAGATGAAAAGGTATCCCGGTCACTGAAGCGAGGACAAAATGAACTGGTTGCTTTAGAAGATGTTAAATGTAAGTTAATGTTTGGACCACATTTGCACTTGATTTTATACTACCTATGACTTACTGCTTTTATAGTAATTGTAAACATAATAAACACAATAATAATAGCATCACATTAATGTTTAAACTATAAGCCAGTGAATACAAAATAAATAGAATATAATAGCACCTCAGTGTGAAAGTACTACATGAAATTTATTGATTGATTGATCGATTTATTTATTTACTTACAGTATTTATGTTCCACACTTCTCACACCAAAGGGAACTTAGAGCAAATCACAGAACACATACATGGCAAACATTCAATGCCTTTATACACTGACAAGACAGACAACTGTAGAGGTATATACAGTCTATCCCATCTTTGGCATCTTGGAGGGTTTGCTTGGTTCCAGCCACTGAGAGGAAGGTGATCGCTCCATCCTCCCAAAGAGCTTTGTTCGAAAACTTCCTCCTTGATTGAATTGCCATCATTTTCCTGGCATTTCCTTATAGGTGCCTTAAATACCTCCCCACTTTAAAGCGGCACCTGTTTATCTATTCACATTGCTGTTTTCAAAACTGCTAGGTTGGCAGAAACTGCTGAAGCTCACCCTGACCCGGGCTTCGAACTGGCAAGATTTACTGCAGCTGGCGGTTAACCTGCTGTGCTAAAGCCAGGCCCTAAATGTCTTATAGATCTTGCATATTTAAAAATATTCAGTAAAACATTGAAAAAACAACTGATGAAATTCAGATTAAAATTCACAACTTAAAAGTGACAGGATATATACATTGGATATATACCCAAATATAAATGAAAACACCTTGAATATAAACCTCGATACCATTATTATATTAGATAAGTTTAGATCATCCGCAGAGTAATCAACAGCATATGAGTGATACATCCTGCCTAAATTTTCATTGCTGCCAGAGCGAAAAGAGAAACCTAACACATTATCATACAATCACTATTGGATGGGAGATAACATTATTGGAATGTAGATAAATCAGAATAGAGCAAACATGGGCAAACTTTGGCCCTCCAGGTGTTTTGGACTTCAACTCCCACAATTCCTGGCAGCCTACCGACTGTTTGCCCATGCCTGGAATAAATTCTAAGAATTTGATTTTGGGTTCAGAAAATAATGAACAAAGCCCACGGACCAAACCCAGCTCTCCATGTCATTTTATGTGGCCCGCAAGGCTTTCAGTGCCAGCAGGGCAACATGGTTACGTTTACAGCCTTACAATTACAAACAAGCCTTTGAAGATGACCATAAAACTGATGTGGCCCTTGGTGAAAATGAGTTTCACAACCTTGCTCTATAGCAGGCATGGGCAAACTAAGTCCTAGAGCAGTGTTTCTCAACCTGGGGGTCGGGACCCCTGAGGGGGTCGCGAGAGGGTTTCAGGGGGGTCGCCAAAGACCATCAGAAAACACACATTTCTGATGATCTTAGGAACCCTTTTGGCAGAGAAGGCAGAATATCTCTCTGCCTGTCCTTCTCTTTCTTTTTGGTGTTGGTGAACTACAACTCCCAGAATTCAAAAACAGCCCCTCCCCGACCCCACTAGTAATCAATGTTGGCCATGTAGGTAGCATGTCAAGTTTAGTACAGATCCCTTATGGGGTGGATTCAGAATGCTCTTTGATTGTAGATTAACTATAAATCCCAGCAACTTCAACTCCCAAATGCCAAGGTCTATTTTTCCCAAACTTTGGGCGTATTGAGTATTCATGCCAAGTTTGGTCCAGATCCATTAATGTTTGAGTCCACAGTGCTCTCTGGAGGTAGGTGAACTACAACTCTAAAACTGAAATCAATGCCCACCAAACCCTTCCAATATCTTCTCTTGGTCATAGGAGTTTTGTGTGCTAAATTTGGTTCAGTTCCATAGATGGCAGAGTTCTCTTTGTAGGTTAACTATAAATCCCAGCAACTACAACTCCCAAATAACAAAATCAATCCCCCTGAACCCCACCAGTATTCAAATTTGGGCATATTTGGTATTTGTGCCAAATTTGGTCCAGTGAATGAAAATACATCCTGCATATCAGATATTTACATTACGATTCATAACAGTAGCAAAAGTACAGTTGTGAAGTAGCAATGAAAATAATGTTATGATTGGGGGTCACCACAACATGAGGAACTGTATTAAGGGGTTAGCATTAGGGAGGTTGAGAAACACTGTCCTAGAGGCTGGATGCGCCCCCCTGTGTGCTTACCTCAGGCCCTCCTCATTTTCCCTGTCCTCTCAGCATAAAGACATGGTGACCCACCACATTGTTATGCAGAAAGGACGGGGGAGGAAGGCACTCAGAGGTTGAGACCCTCTGGAGCATTCTCATCCACCTCATGTCTTGTCGTCCTCCTGGCATAAGGACAGTGCAAGCGACCCCATCCTTATGCTGAGAGGATGGCCCAATAAAGACACGGAGTGGCTGAGAGCCCTCCAGAGTGCTCTCGGCTGTCACCTGTCTCCTCTCAGCATAATGCCGTGAGGACAGCCTGAAGATTGGGGAGGAGGATTGGGGCACTCACCGCATGATTCATTTTCCTCCTGCCATAAGGATGGGGCAAGCAACCCCATCCTTATGCTGATATCTAGCTGCTTTTAGGAGGATCTCCCCAGCCGAGGAGATCCCGAGGACCGCACCAAAGAGGGTCCCTGAACCTTGGTGAGGGCAGCGAAGCCAATTCCAGCAGAAAATATTAAAATAATAAATCCCCACCAAAGAGGAAGAAGCTGGCGATCGAGGTGTCTTTATTAGCGATTCAGCTGAGATCAGATGCATTGCAGGGATAGTTCCACTACAAGCATACCAGTACAGAGTTCACAGGCATTTTTATAGGCATTTTACAGAAAAACATTTCAAATTTCCCGCCCTTCCTTCCCCGCCCGGCTTTCTGCTGATTGGTTGACAGCCTGAACAGCTGGGAGGAGGCTTGGTGGCCCGCCTCGCTCTGGGCCAATCAGCAAGCTTCCCTGCCTCTGGGGGACCAATGGGCGCGCTCCTCTCGCTTCCGAGGATGGACGAATCAGGAGAGAGGAGGCGGGATGATTGTTGACAATGGGGGAAATGATGGGATTATCGCTAGCCGGCCAGCTGGAATTTGAGGCTTTGTTTTGGCCGGCAAAGTGCGATTTTCCTTAAGAAAGGTTTTCCTGTTTCAGATCAGATAAGGAGTGTCCTTGATGAGTTTTGGTAGAAGGAACAAACAGGGTCAGGACAGGGGACCCCGGGGGTCATTCCTGTCCCTTTGTAAATCAATCAAAGTGTCCAAATAGACTTCCCTGCCCGCCAGACAAAACTCAGAGAGCGGGCAAAGGAAATCTCAACTTGTTATTGTTCATGCAGATGTGGAATAATCAAGCAAGTTTCGAGAGAGGCGGTGGTCCTCCCTCAGGCAGTGAGCAATCTCTGGTCGCAATTTTCTAGGGCAAAGGGCAAAGGGAAAGGCAAAGGGGCAGGCAATATTTCATAGCAAGATACATACATTCAAATCATAAGCATTTCATAGCAACAAAACCCCATCTTTTTCCCACATCCCAAGTATATTTAATAAGAGGATTAATTTTCATGAAGAAGCCTGAAGTCCAATGTTTTAAAAGGTCTTTGAGGAAAGTTCATGAGGGAGATAGTATGTACTGAAGTCCAAGGCAGAGAGTCCATGATCATTGGGAAGGCTGGCAGATGAAACCCCAGCTGTGCTGCAACTGATTCACACTTTGGTCCTTGGGAAACTACAACTCTCACGAAGGGCAGAAGTCCCAAGATCCAGCCGTTTCCCAAAAGCCTTGTGGGGTCCTTGTTGTTGTCAATGCTTTGGCAATGTGACCAAGACTTGACCCTTGTTGTGTAGTCTGGTGCCCTTGCCCTTTGCAGAACTATAAGTCACTATCCCTTATTTGGGGTGGGGTGGTCGACATCAATGCCAGGAGGGCAACCTGAGGATGACCCGGGCCCTACCCTGCCCCACCCATTCCCGGTCCCACCTTTTCGCCGACCCTCTTCCTCCCAGGCTTCTCACACCCAGTGTGTTCCTAGCCACCTTCCCTCCTGGCCTGGTCCTCTCGGTCAGGCCCACAATATGGCCCCAAGGCAAAAAAGTTTTCCCATGCCTGCTCTACAGTGTTATAACATTTACAGATTGTGCCAATATATCTCAAAGCTATTACTCTAGTAGCATTTATGAGGTTTCCAGAAATTTTCTTGTACAATGAATGCCTAGGTACCTCGCATGAAGAAGAGAGTGGAACTGGTTTTAAGTTGATTTTAAGGTGTATGTTGTGTTAACAGTTTATGCCTATGTTTTTGTTTTATATTGTATGTTTTTATATTATTTTGCATATGTGGAAACCACTCTGAGTCCCCTAGGAGAGATAGGGTGGTATATAAATAAAGTTTATTATTATGCTTATTAAAAGACTAATACTTAGACGATCCCTCGCTGTTTGAGCAGGATAGTCTTCCAGGATCAGTGTACTGGTGGTGGGTCTGTAGGTGACTGTGGAGCCCTATTCTTGATCTGCATCTTCTCCCGCAGTGAGGGCATTGGTTTCCAGGTGGAAGGTGGTCCTGGTCGGGGTCAGGAGACTAATAGGTTGATAATTATTGGGGTCTTATCACCCTTCCTGTGAATAGGAACAATTATATTCTGTTCCCAGCCCAATGGAATTCTACCTGCATTGTTGATTTGAGTCAACACTTTCCCCCTGTGGCCTTGCTTCAAGGAGGAGTTGCAATCAACCTTTTCATCTCTGACACAGACTTGGGAGGCCAACAAGACAAACAATAGAAAGGTGTTTCCCTGAAAATATTGCTCCATATTGCTGCTAAAAGGAGTCTACCAACGGTGTGATGAAATCTGCGTATTGGTTACTGGGCTGACTTTGTGCATACCAGTAGAAATAATATCCCCAAACAGTTTCTTGTTCTTTTCCATCACAGCTAGGGCTGTCAAAGGCTTTCATCACAGCTAGATGATGTTCTAATGTATGTCTTTGTTCTCTTCTTGTATGATAGCATCATAGAGGCTAAAGTGTTGGGAGAATATCATTATTTCTAAGTAATGCTTTACAGGGCATACCTGGGATTGTCTCAGGGTGCTGCAGTTTCGGATTCACAGGGCTCAGCAAATCTAGTCGACATGGCCGGAGAGGTATTCAGGAGCCATAAAAGGACATCATTGAAACAGCCATTTTTGCCTCTTTCAGCCAGAGTAGACTGATCAAAGGAGGGTTTTCATTCCATCCAATATCTCTTTCCAAGAAAACTGCGCAGAATAGACAAAAACAGCAAGCTATTTTATTTGTCGTGTCAGGGAAACTAGTCAATTATATTACAGTTCTAACAGAACAAAGCAAACAAACAGACAAAATACAGAATTTGTGAGTTTGGTAGTTGATTAAATGTCCTTTGACCAGTAGCTGGCCACTTGGGGTGCTTCTGGTGTTCCTGCAACAAGGTCCTCCATTGTGCATGTGGCAGGGCTCAGGTTGCATTGCAGCAGGTGGTCAGTGGTTTGCTCTTCTCCACACTCGCATGTCGAGGATTCCACTTTGTAGCCCCATTTCTGAAGGTTGGCTCTGCATCTCGTGGTGCCAGAGCGCAGTCTGTTCAGCGCCTTCCAAGTCGCCCAGTCCTCTGTGTGCCCAGGGGGGAGTTTCTCATTTGGTATCAGCCATTGTTTGAGGTTCTGGGTTTGAGCCTGCTACTTTTGGACTCTCGCTTGCTGAGGTGTTCCAGCGAGTGTCTCTGTAAATCTTAGAAAACTATTTCTAGATTTAAGTCATTGACGTGCTGGCTGATACCTAAACAGGGGATGAGCTGGAGATGTCTCTGCCTTGGTCCTTTCACTACTTCCCGGCGGATGTCAGGTGGTGCAATACCGGCTAAGCAGTGTAATTTCTCCAGTGGTGTAGGGTGCAGACACCCTGTGATAATGTGGCATGTCTCATTAAGAGCCACATCCACCGTTTTAGTGTAGTGAGATGTGTTCCACATTGGGCATGCATACTCAGCAGCAGAGTAGCACAACGCAAGGGCAGATGTCTTCACTGTGTCTGGTTGTGATCCCCAGGTTGTGCCAGTCAGCTTTCGTATGATATTGTTTCTAGCACCCACTTTTTGCTTGATGTTCAGGCAGTGCTTCTTGTAGGTAAGAGCACGGTCCAGAGTGACTCCCAGGTATTTGGGTGCGCTGCAATGCTCCAGTGGGATTCCTGATGTTCAAGAAAAAAGTGTTGTGTGAGAAGCTATACTAGAATTAAGCAAAAATCCCAGGCTGCTGTGCCAGGAGGCAAATGAGCCAACCTGTAGAGTCCTGTGAAGTGGTTGCCTTCTTTACAACGCTTTATGATAGTTGCACAGTTTTGATTTGCAGGGAAGGGCGATAGGTGTGCTTTTTCCTGATAGGCTTTTGAGGAGCTAGGAGTTTGACAGGAATGAATGAATGAATGAATGAATGAATGAATGAATGAATGAATGAAAAAGGATGTTGCTTGATGCCTGAGGATGTGCCACTTTGAATAATTGGGAGGAATATAAACAGTTTTATGTTAATAGCCCCTTAATTTGGTAGCAGATACTTTGCAGGCCTGAACAGGAAGGAAATAATCACTTTTTGAATGCTCATGTTTCCCATATTTTGGACGTTTTCAGATGCTGCAATATTTCTGGCACAGGAGGAGGAATCTTATCACGCCCCAACTTTCTCTGCCGTTATGAGGTATATAGTCTGATAGTTTGGTTTTACAATCAGATTTATTTTTCGTGTCTGGAGCAACTTGAGAAACTGTAAGTCACTTCTGGTGTGAGAGAATTGGCTGTCTGCAGGGATGTTGCCCAGGGGACACCCAGATGTTTACCATCCTGTGGGAGGTTCTCTCATGTCCCGACATGAGAAACTGGAGCTGACAGACGGGAGCTCACCCCGCTCCCCAGATTCGAACCGCCAACCTTTCCGTTAGCAGTCCTGCCTGCACGAGGTTTTAACCCATTGCACCTCAGATGTCTCAGTGACTTTTCATAATATAGTACCATGCAAAATAAACACTGTCAGAAGTTAGTTTTTGTTGTTGTTGTTGTTGTGTCAGTAGTGACTTGAAAAACTGCAAGTTGCTTCTGGTGTGAGAGAATTGGCCATCTGCAAGGATGTTGCCCAGGGGACACCTGGATGATTTGATGTTTTTTTTATCATCCTTGTGGGAGGCTTCTCTCATGTCCCCGCATGAGGAGCTGGAGCTGATAGAGGGAGCTCATCCGCCTCTCCCCGGATTCGAACCTGCGACCTGTCGGTCTTCAGTCCTGCCGGCACAGGGGTTTAACCCACTGCGCTACTGGGGGCTCCACATCAGAAGTTAGTGTATGGGTGATTAAAGTGTGCCTTTTCCCATTGTCATTGCCAACTGAATCCAGTTAGGAGACTTTCTTATATACAATACCAGAGTAGTGGCAGAAATCCCAACTTCCCTAACATCAGGGAAGTATCCTGATGAGGTCCATGAGGCTGCTTCATGTTACTCCTTCATTTTAAGTACAAAATGGCTTCTAATTGAGCAGTCAATGCATTAAAGGAATCTTAAATCACAAAGATTTAAGTGCTGGATGTGAGAGCTCTGATGGAGCCAACGACAGAATTTAAGGAACTGCAGCTGTGCTTTATGTGCAACCACAGGACTGGTTTAATCCTGATCATAGTAGCCAATATTATCCAAATTAAGTAAAGGTAAAGGTTTTCCCTTGACATTAAGTCAAGTTAAGTACGACTCTGGGGGGTGGTGCTCATCTTCATTTCAAAGCCGAAGAACCGGCGTTGTCCGTAGACACCTCCAAGGTCATGTGGCCAGCATGACTGCATGGAGCACTGTTACCTTCTCGCCGGAGTGGTACCTTTTGGTCTACTCACATTTGCATGTTTTCGAACTGCCAGGTTAGCAGAAGCTGGGGCTATTGACGGGAGCTCACCCCACTCCACAGATTTAAACCAACAACCTTTCGGTCAGCAAGTTCTGCAGCTCAGCGATTTAACCTACACATAATTAAATGACTGAAATGATTGTACAGCAGTTCCTGATGGGTGGGATTCCACAACGATGCTCTGGAGCCCAAATGAAAGGATGCATTTTGGTGTTTATGGATGTGTGGCATTGCCTGATTTGTAAATTTTGCCCTAGGTGTAAGCAGCTGGATGATTTCCTCATGGCTCTGTTATATTACATCTCTTTCTATCTGGAAAAACTAGCCCTGGAAATGAAACCCAGATCATTCATGGGGTAAGTGCATTTGCATGAATGTTTACCTTAAGGGGGCTTCTATGACCAAGATCCTAATATAAGATGATTAAACACCCAGCATATAGGTACGTCTCCATCCTGAGGCCTTGTGTCCTCAATATCCAGTCAAAAAAATATGTCAAGCAATAAAATGTGCTCTGAGCTTGAGCCTTTGGAGAGCTGCCATCAGTCAGAGTGGACAGTGTTGGGGGCTGCATGTCCCAGTGCAGTATGAGCCAACTTGGGCCTCTTTTTGAATTCAATTAATACATAAATTGACATTTCATGTGATTTTGGGTATAGTTAAGGCATTCCTCAAGGCTAGTGTTTTTCCTTATCTTGTGACTCCTGCTCCTATTTTGGATAAATGTGTGGCACAATGTATATTTATTAAACTTTAGTTTAATACATACTATTTCATAATCTTGTGTATCTTGGTTATACGTATTTGCTATTATATTGTAATAGTTTTCCAATTTCTGCTCAGATAATTCATTTTACAACTTACTTACTTACTTAGGCGATCCCTCGTTGGACGAGTAAGATGGTCTTCCATTATGGATTTCCTTGTGGGTCCGTATGTGGCTGTGGAGCCCTATTCTTGCTCTGCATCTTCTTCCGCAGTGAGGGCATTGGTTTCCAGGTGGAAGGCGGTCCCGGTCGGGTTGGCTTGACGCGCCTTCCTCCTGGCACGTTTCTCTCTTTCACCCTCCACTCGTGCCTCCTCAAATTCTGCAGCACTGCTGGTCACAGCTGACCTCCAGCTGGAGCGCTCAAGGGCCAGGGCTTCCCAGTTCTCAGTGTCTATGCCAGAGTTTTTAAGGTTGGCTTTGAGCCCATCTTTAAATCTCTTTTCCTGTCCACCAACGTTCCGTTTTTCGTTCTTAAGTTCAGAGTAGAGCAACTGCTTTGGGAGACGGTGGTCAGGCATCCGGACAACGTGGCCGGCCCAGCGGAGTTGATGTTGGAGGACCATCGCTTCAATGCTGGTGGTCTTTGCTTCTTCCAGCACACTGACGTTTGTCCACTTGTCTTCCCAGGAGATTTGCAGGATTTTCCGGAGGCAGCGCTGATGGAAACGTTCCAGGAGCTGCATGTGACGTCTGTAGACAGTCCACGTCTCACAGGCATATAGCAGGGTTGGGAGGACAATAGCTTTATAAACAAGCACCTTGGTATCCCTACGGATGTCCCGGTCCTCAAACACTCTCTGCTTCATTCTGGAAAATGCTGCACTTGCAGAGCTCAGGCGGTGTTGTATTTCGGCGTCGATGTTGACTTTGGTGGAGAGGTGGCTGCCAAGGTAGCGGAAATGGTCCACATTTTCTAATGTGACACCATTAAGCTGTATTACTGGCATTGGAGAGGGATTGGCTGGCGACTGCTGGAACAGCACCTTGGTTTTCTCAATGTTCAGTGACAGGCCGAGCTTCTCATATGCTTCTGCGAAGGTGTTTAGAGTGGCTTGTAGATCTTCTTCTGAATGCGCACAGACGACATTGTCATCAGCATACTGGAGTTCTATAACAGATGTTGTTGTAACCTTGGTTTTGGCTTTCAGTCTGCTGAGGTTGAATAGCTTGCCATCTGTCCGATAAATGATTTCCACTCCGGTGGGAAGCTTCCCATCAACAAGGTGAAGTATCATAGCGATGAAGATGGAGAATAGAGTTGGGGCAATAACACATCCCTGTTTGACACCGGATTCCACTTTAAATGGGTCACTTTGGGAGCCACTGCTGTCCAAGACTGTTGCCATCATGTCATCATGGAGGAGCCGCAGAATGTTCACAAATTTGCTTGGGCACCCGATTTTGTGGAGGATGGTCCAGAGAGCGCTGCGATTCACTGTGTCGAATGCCTTTGCAAGGTCGATGAATGCCATGTACAGAGGTTGGTTTTGTTCTCTGCATTTTTCTTGGAGCTGTCGTGCAGTGAAGATCATGTCCACAGTTCCTCTGGAGGGGCGGAAGCCATTCTGGGATTCTGGGAGGGTGTCTTCTGAGAGGGGCAGAAGGCGGTTTGCAAGGATTCTTGCGAGGATTTTCCCAGCAGAGGTTAGAAGGGAGATACCTCGATAGTTTCCGCAGTCTGTTCTTTCCCCTTTTTTGAAGAGGGTGATGGTGGTGGCATCCTTGAAATCTGCTGGGATTTTCTCGGTCACCCACACTTTTTCTATGAGCTGGTGGAGTTGGTGTGTCAGCTCAGGTCCTCCCTCTTTAAAGATTTCAGCAGGGATCCCATCTGGTCCACTGGCTTTGTTATTCTTCTGTTGGCTGATGGCATTGCTGACTTCTTCCAAACTAGGCAGTGCTGCAAGCTCGTCCCTGGTTTGTTGTTTGGGATTTGTGAGAGGACCTCTTCGGCCACATTGGAGCTGCGGTTCAGGAGGCTTTGGTAGTGTTCTTTCCAACGTAGTGCAATTGAGTTTTGGTCCTTCAGGAGTTTGGTTCCATCTGATGAGCGTAGAGGCTGTATGCCATGGTTTCTTGGTCCATAGATGACCTTTGTGGCTTTGAAGAATCCCTGAGCATCATGGGTATCTGCCAGGTGTTGGATTTCTTCAGCCTTCTTTGTCCACCAGATGTTCTTGAGTTCTCTTGTCCTTCTTTGGACCTCAGCTTTTGCACTGGCATAGATCTTTTTCTTAGCAACACAGTTGATGTCTCTCTGCCATGCTTGGAAGGCTTTCCTTTTCTTGTCAATTAGCTGTTGGATCTCGATGTCATTTTCATCAAACCAGTCTTGATGTTTCTTGGCTTTGGTATCCAATAGTTTCTTCGCAGGCTTGGATGATGGAGGTCTTCAGTTTGTTCCAATGATTCCTCAACATTTTCGGGGTGTACTGTGGGTAGATGGTCCTTGAGTGCTGTTTGGAGATGGGCTCGTCTGGAGGGCTCCTGAAGGGCTTGGGTGTTCATTTTGCGCCTTGTCTTCCTTCCTTGGAGTCTGCGCTTGGGAGCGATCTTGAGAGCCATCGAGGATCGAATTAGCCTGTGGTCAGTCCAGCAGTCGTCAGCACCTGTCATGGCTCTTGTGAGGAGCACGTCACGGCGGTCTCTGGCACGTGTGATTACATAGTCTAAGAGGTGCCAATGCTTTGACCGGGGGTGCTTCCATGATGTCTTGAACTTGTTTTTCTGGCGGAAGAGCGTGTTGGTGATGACAAGGTTGTGCTCCGCACATTTGGTGAGAAGCAGGATGCCATTTGAGTTGCTGTTTCCAACCCCGTCTTTTCCTATGGTCCCTGGCCACAGGTCGAAGTCTCGCCCGACTCTTGCATTGAAGTCCCCCAGGAGTATGATTTTGTCCTCCTTAGGTATCCCCGATAGGACGGTGTCCAGCTGACAGTAGAATTTCTCCTTGATGTCTTCGTCAGCATCTAGTGTTGGTGCATAGGCACTTATGATGGTTGCCCGTTGGTTTTTGGCAAGATCGATTCGGAGGGTTGAGAGTCGTTCGTTGATGCCAGTGGGAGCTTCGGACAGATGTTTCACCAGATCATTCCTGATGGCAAAGCCAACTCCGTGCATTCTTTGGTCTTTTTCGGGCAGTCCCTTCCAGAAGAAGGTGTAGCCTCCTTTTTCTTCCTTCAGCTGTCCCTCTCCTGCTCTCCGGGTCTCCTGAAGCTGCTATGTCGATGTTGAAGCGTCCCAGCTCCCTTGCAATGATGGCAGTTCTGCGTTCGGGGCGTTCACTGCCACTGTTGTCCATCAGAGTCCGTACGTTCCACGTACCGAAGTTCATTTTCCTTTTTTGGCCGCAGGGTGGTGACCCCACTGGACGCGGCAGTCCAGTCAGGGATAAGTGAGGCAGACTATGTTTAGGGCACCTTTTCTAGCCCCCTCCCCCTGTGGGGTGAGCAGAGTGGGTCCTCAAAAGGGCTGCTCAGTCGCGGATACAGCTGCCGAACTACTCAACTGCCTCGGACCTTGAGGTAGAACGACTGAGTCCGTACCCACCGCCCATGTGCCAGTCTGTGACTAGGAGCTTCCAGATTTCACAGTCCTGCCCCCGTCGCCACTCGCTGATCGCCATGGGACTTTGGTTGGTTTGTTTTTATTTTCTTTGGAAGACGCCTGTGCGTGGGTTTTTTTAATGTGTGGAGGTCAGTGCACAACTGATCAACACACAGACTTCACAGAGTGAGGTTCCACTGGTGATGTAGTTTAACGCAATGACCGTGGCTTCTCAGTCTGTTGCAGCCTTCTTCCGCCTTCGCAGCCGTTGTAACATGTGCCATGTTATCCTCCGCCTGCTCCGCCGTTGAGGTCTTTGGTCTTCGGACTGTGCTTGGTCTGGAACCTCCCCCGCGGCCACTCCTGGGAGTGCACGACTCCAGTTGTTGTGCCTACAGGTTCATTGGAACGCGCAAGCCCCCTCACCACGACAAGGTGACAGTCCATCGAGGGGGGCAACTATAATGGGCCTTCATCAATACTTTGCAGGAGTTTGGTTCTAGGACCCTGTTGCAAATGAGCAAAAATGCGGATGGTTGTAGCTCATAATAACACGCTTTATTTATATTCCGCTTTATCTCCCCGAAGTGGATTACAGTCCACATATAAGGCAAACATTCAAAGCTTTTTACACAATGAAAAACGACATACAATACATAGATGAGGTAAAGGTTTTCCCCTTTTCATCTCCGGCGTCTGGAGGCAATGCTCAACTCCAGCCATGGGGAGGTGCTCTTGTTCTATTTTCCATGCCGAGGAGCCTGCTGTCCATAGACATCTCCAATCGTTTTGTCAACATTACTGCATGCCCTTTTTACCTTCCTGCTGAGATTGTACGTATTGATCTACTCACATTGCATGCTTTCGAACTACTAGGTTGGCAAGAGCCCTCCCTAAAGAGATCTGGTTAGTCCCCACCCTACAAGCTTTCTGGACACAATTGAAAACATGGGTTCTTGTACAAGTCTTTGGGCCATGATTAGTACCTTAACCAGGATACCTTAACCAGGACATATTTAGGTTAGCATTTTATGGGCTGAGTCAGTGCACAGCTTGTTTTTATCTGCAGCTTGCTGTGTTTGTCGGATTTTAAATAGGTTCCCTTCAGTTTTTTGTGCAAACATATTGTTTGTTGCGGCACCAAGGTGTAATTTTTGTGAGCCACCCCGAGTCCCTTCGGGGAGATGGTGACGGGGTATAAATAAAAATGATGATGATGACGATTTTTTCATGTCAAGAGCGACTTGAGAAACTGCAGGTCACTTCTGGTGTGAGAGAATTGGCCGTCTGCAAGGACGTTGCCCAGGGGATGCCCGGATGTTTTGATGTTTTACCACCCTTGTGGGAGGCTTCTTTCATGTCCCCACATGGGGAGCTAGAGCTGACAGAGGGAGCTCATCCACACTTTCCCTGGATTCGAACCTGTGACCTGTCGGTCTTCAGTCCTTACGGCACAAAGGTTTAACCATTGCGCCACCAGGGGTTCCTATGATGATGATGATAATATTATTATTTGGCTGACAGTTGGGAGCTCACCCTGACCCGTGGCTTCGAACTGCTAACCTTCCAGTCAGCAGATTTTCCTGCAGCTAGCAGTTTTAACCGCTGTGCTACTGCCCCCCCCCAAATATCATTAAATGGCAACAATGTGTGCGCATCTGTGTTAACGCATCTGCATGAATGTCACCACCATTTTAGGTATGGGCCGTGACAATCTGTGTTTGGTTGTAACTATGGATAGAGACCCCATGAATTGGGAGGGCCGATGGTATATTGCATAGCTTTATATTTCTTCTGTCTGTGTGTGTTTTATACCTTTAGCATGGCTGACTTTTTTTGTTGATCTTTTACTTCTAAAGCACTGTGTACGCTGGGTTATTGTAGTTTTTTCGGACTGTATGGCCATGTTCTACAACAAGAATGATGGACAACTGGAAAATAGAGGGAGAAAATGTGGAGGCCGTGACAGACTTTGTATTTCTAGGTGCAAAGATTACTGCAGACGCAGACTGTGGCCAGGAAATCAGAAGACGCTTACTTCTTGGGAGGAGAGCAATGTCCAGTCTCGATAAAATAGTAAAGAGTAGAGACATCAGACTGGCAACAAAGATCCGCCTAGTCAAAGCCATGGTATTCCCTGTAGTAACCTACGGATGTGAGAGCTGGACCTTAGGGAAGGCTGAGCGAAGGAAGATCGATGCTTTTGAGCTGTGGTGTTGGAGGAAAGTGCCTTGGACTGCGAGAAGATCCAACCAGTCCATCCTCCAGGAAATAAAGCCCGACTGCTCATTGGAGGGAAGGATACTAGAGACAAAGTTGAAGTACTTTGGCCACATCATGAGGAGACAGCAAAGCCTAGAGAAGACAATTATGCTGTGGAAAGTGGAAGGTAAAAGGAAGAGGGGCCGACCAAGGGCAAGATGGATGGATGGCATCCTTGAAGTGACTGGACTGACCTTGAAGGAGCTGGGGGTGGTGACGGCCGACAGGGAACTCTGGCGTGGGCTGGTCCATGAGGTCACGAAGAGTCGGAGATGACTGAACGAATGAACAACAACAACATGGCCATTTTCTAGAAGCAGTCTCTCCTGGAGAGAATGCTTCTAGAACATGGCCATACAGCCCAAAAAACCTACAACAACCCAGTGATTCCGGCCATGAAAGCCTTTGACAATACTGTGTACGTTGATGGCACTATTCAAATAAATGATGACGATGATAATAATGGTGATCTTTGAAGTCCCACACAGCCTTCTGGAACTCCACCCCATTCATTTTGCAGCTTTCCCTTCCATCTGACCTCATTCTTTCCTCAGATGTTTTCTGGGTTCTTTTTCTTTGAGGAGATTTGGACCAAAGAGTTTGAGGGTTTTGAGGTTGATGTTGCCCCTTCCATGCTTCTTCATGGAAGTTCATTCTCAGTTCTATATCCACTAGTTCTTGGACAACTTTTCCAATAAAGATTGTCATGATCGGAGACAAAAATGGGAGTACGAGTTACATCAGAAATGTAGACAAGTCCTTGGCATCTTCTATATCCTCCCTCCTCCTCCTCCTCCTCCTCCTCCTCCTCCTCAATATATTTGCTTAAATCCTCTTTAAAGTTGTGTAATCCATTGCCTTAACCGAAATGACTGCCACAATGTTCCACATATGCAATATGGGGCCGCTCCCAAAATATGTTCCCAGTCTCATAATACCACTATGATTGGTCAGAAAGCGAATGTTGCTCAAATCTGTATCTGCCTTCTGTTAACCATCTAAACGAAGAATTAACCACAGCTAGTTAGAATAAAGGCACCCTATTGATGTACTGAGTAACACTTAAAGGTTACCAATTAGAGATTATTTTGAAGGTGTTTTAAGATCTAAGAGTTATTTTACAATAATGCAAAAGCTGAAAGGCTGGCTGTTCGAATTGGTGAGCAGGGTGAGCTCCCATCTGTCAGCTTCAGCTTCCCATGCGGGGACATGAGAGAAGCCTCCCATAAGGATGGTAAAACATCAAAACATCCTGGTGTCCCCTGGGCAACATCCTTGCAGACGGCCAATTCTCTCACACCAGAAGCGCCTTGCAGTTTCTCAAGTCTCTCCTGACACGAAAAAAAATTAAATTTGTTATCTATGCTGATTTTTTTTTAAAAAATCATTAAACTAATATACAAATAGAGTAGTAAAATAGAAACATCAAAATAGTTACTTAGGACATGAGATATATTTATTTTATTTATTTATTTGCGGTATTTCTATACCGCCCTTCTCAACCTCAATTTTTTTGCTGATTGTAAAGTTTCCATCTATCTAGGAGTCACGGTGGCACAGTGGGTTAAACCCTTTTGCCGACTAAACTGCTGACCTGAAAGTCAGTGATTTGAATCTGCGAGACGGGGTAAGCTCTGGTCTGTCAGCCCCAGCTTCCCATGCCTCTCACAGGATTTTTTTTTCTGTGTGTGTTTGTGTGTACTAGGAGCAACTTGAGAAATTGCAAGTTGCTTCTGGTGTGAGAAAATGGGAAGGACATTGCCCAGGGAACGCCTGGATGTTTTGATTTTTTATTTTTTTTAAATTAATTTCTTCATACAGAGAACAAAACAATACAATACAAACCTTAGCCATCTAAAAGATAGCATAAAAACTGTTTACAATCTTTATGGCTGGGATACAGGTTCCAATTGTGACTCCCTTTACCGTATATCTTAATTAATTACCCCTTTAAACTCCCCATACCACCCACCCTTACCACACTCTTCCCATCTCCCTCCCACCCTCATCTGGATTACTTGAATCAATACATTGATTTAATTGTCTGGAAGGCCTGATTTAAAGTTCTGTACCTATCTTTTCCTTCCGTTTTGTCGATTAAACAAGACCATTTCCTATGCCAACCTTGTCTTGACTGAATATTCAAATATTTATTTTTCTTTTCATGGATGAAATCATTAATTAAATATTCAGAGAGATACGACCACCAGGCTTTCAGGTCCCACCTTGTTTTATCTTTCCAACCTCTGGCAATTGTGGCTTGAATAGCGCCTATCATAAATTTTAATATATCTGACCATTTGTTGTTCCCCTCCTTTAGCTATATATTGAGGGACAAAAATCGAGCTTTATCCCAATATAGTTTTGCTCTATTATTTCCTCTATTACTTCTCTAACAGTATTATAGTATTTTTGGATGTTTTGATGTTTTACCATCCTTATGGGAGGCTTCTCTCATGTCCCTTCATGAGCAGCTGGAGCTGACAGAGGGAGCTCATCTGCACTGTACCCGGATTCCAAACCTGCGACCTATCAGTCTTCAATCCTGCTGGCACAGGGGTTTAACCCACTGTGCCACTGGGGGCTTCCACAGGATTGTAAAACATCTGAGTGTTCCCTGGGCAACGTTCTTGCAGACGGCCAATTCTCTCACACCAGAAGTGACTTGCAGTATATTCCCAATTCGCTTCTGACATGATGAAAAAATTGATCACCTATCTGATTGCTTTCCAGAGTGGTGGGGCCTTCTCCCTCCTGCTCCTTGTTTGTGACCGTAGCCTCTTCCTTTCTATTGTTTTCACCTTATGTATTAATGAGAGTCTGGGTACCACAGGTCCACTTGTGCAAGCCTGTCTTGGCAATCTGGGGTGTGCCATCTATCCCTGTCCTGTAATTTCATGATCTAACGTTTAAATTGCTCCAGCTTCTTTGATCTTTTGTTTGTTTGTTTATTGGTCGACCAGAAAGCCGAGTGCCAAGGAAAAAAAAGAAATTAGGCAGAACCAAATCCATCTGGCCGTGACCAAAAAGCATCTCGCCGAGCGGTACTGCATCCTCATCCTAGGCCTAGGGATGGCTGATCAGCATCACATGGCTTGTGGCAAGTAAGGAAATTATTGTGCCTCGAAAATGTTTTCTCTGGGGTAATTCCAGATGGGAGGCTCTTGGTCGTATCACAGGGTGTTAGAAATTGTGGTGAAGTCCAAAACATCTGGAGGGAGAGCCGAAGTTTGCCCATACTTGATGTATAAGCATGATTCAGCTCTTTGATCCTTTCCTCCTTGATGCCAGAGGAGAAACAAAGATGGCAAAAGTGGTGGAGAAGGTGTACAAATTGAATTTGACCTTGTTTGGACCTGAGTTGGGGAGCTTTAGGTTCTGGGATTGAATCTGGCCTTTGTGGGAGGTTCCAACTCAGCCCTGTGTAGTTTCCTAGATGGCCATGATGTCTTAGCCAACCCATTGCTTGCACATTTGCCAACTTTTCTACATTCTCCTCCAGCCTAAAAAGTTGAAATGACTCTCCTAATGTTTAGATTGCTAGTGGTAAAGGGTTTAACTTAAAATATGCTGATGCTTTTAGTCCTTCACTTTATGCAAATCAACTCACTCACCATTCCCTGTGCCCCTCAAGTTTTCTACAGTTCTATGAACTTTGTCAAAAGACTTTCCCACATTTTGGCTGGGATATTCTTCCTCCTCCTGCAGTAAATGAGACAGGGAAGAGTTTGTATGACAAAAGTCTCAGCTGGAAACACCTTCTGAGGTCATGCCAGTCTGAAGTTAGAGTCATGGCTTCTGCTTTGAGTAACTAATGTTCACGGGTAAAAAAAGAAGAAGTCCAGCATCAGTTTCTGGGTGGAGAAACTTGTACTAATTGGAGAAACCAAGCAGAAGCAATTAGGAGTGCAAACCCACACCCATCTCATGAATGATAAGCTAGGATATGCCTCAATTCTGATTTATTGTTTTCTATGAACTGGGGTTGACAGGTGTCCTTTTTGATAAGGGATATTTCATATTTTATCCCCTCGTTAAACTATTCCAAACACTCAGAAATTGGTTTAGCTTTAATTGAGGTTCCCTTATCTTTTTCTGTCGGATCCTGGTAGACCGCCGAAGCCACTGTTCGGTCTGCCTGTTTAGACTAATCTCCTGCCGCCTATCTATTTGCATATTACGTTTTGCAGCTGGACCATGTGCCCAGTTGTTTTCAAGCCCCAAATTCTGGGAACTTTCCAGTAGCAATTCAGGGAGTATACTATCATCCCCACACCTTTCAGGGACATTCTCATGGGAAACTAAACTTTGCACAGGGGTCTCCTGGTCCTTCTATGCATCAGTATCATCGACCAAACCATTGCCATCTTGAAATTCATTGGCATCACTTCCCACATCCAAAGCACCCTGATCCTGAAACACAATCACAGGCTGAACTCAAACAGCATGAACATCAAGTTTGCAGATGGGGCCAAATTGGGAGGAATAGCTAATACTCCGAGGGAAAGATATTAGAGGCAAAGATGAAGTACTCTGGACACATAATGAGAAGGCAGGAAAGCTTGGAGAAGAAATTGGTGATGGAACAAATTGAAGGAAAAAGGAAGAGGGGCCGACCAAGGGCAAGATGGATGGATGGTATCATTGAAGTGACTGGCTTGACCCTGAAGGAACTTGGGATAGCCACAGCCGACAGGGAGCTTTGTCATGGGCTGGTCCATGAGGTCACGAAGAGTTGGAAGCGACTGAATAAATAACAACAACAGCAAGCTAATACACCAGAAGACAGAAGCAGAACTCAAAATGATCTGAACAGAGAGATGATTGGCCAAAACTAACAACATGAAATTCAATGGGGACAAATGCAAGATACTCCACTTAGGCAGAAAGAATTAAATGCAACAATACAGAATGGGGGATGATGCCTGGCTCGAGAGCAGTACGTGTGGAAAAGATCTTGGAGTCCTCGTGGACAAGAAGTTAAACATGAGCCAACAAGGTGATGCGGTGACTAAAAAAACCCAATGGGATTTTGGCCTGCATCAATAGGAGCATAGTGTCTAGGTCCAGGGAAGTAATGCTACCCCTCTATTCTGCTTTGGTTAGACCACACCTGGAATACTGTGTCCAATTCTGGGCACCACAATTGAAGGGAGATGTTGACAAGCTGGAATGTGTCCAGAGGAGGGCGACTAAAATGATCAAAGGTCTGGAGAACAAGCCCTATGAGGAGCAGCTTAAAGAGCTGGGCATGTTTAGCCTGCAGAAGAGATGGCTGAGAGGAGACATGATAGCCATGTAGAAATATGTGAGAGGGAGTCATAGGGAGGAGGGAGCAAGCTTGTTTTCTGTTGCCTTGGAGACTAGGACGTGGAACCATGGCTTCAAACTACAAGAAAGGAAATTTCATCTGAACATCAGGAAGAGCTTCCTAACTGTGACAGCCATTCAGAGTGTAGTGGAGGCTCCTTTTTTGGAAGCTTTTAAGCAGAGACTGGATGGCCATCTGTTGGGGGTGCTTTGAATGCAATTTTCCCTTTTTCTTGGCAGGGGGTTGACTGGATGGCCCACGAGGTCTCTTCTAACTCAATGAGTCTATGATTCTATATACTGAGGCAAAGTTCTCAATCTCCAGCATCGTTATTGCAAACCTGGGTGGAGTCCTATTGCCAGTGGGTCTTGAGCAGCTGCAATCTCTGCAGTGTCGTGTCAGCCACCCCTGTAGCGTGTGGTTGCACGAGTGATTTTCCTTTTTCTTGCTGACTAAGCAGGGAAATCCAGCATCAAGTCTGGTTAATTCCAGACTCATCACAGGCCGGAACCCAGCCCCAGGTGTTGTGTGAGCAAGAGCCAGCATGAGGCAGATTGTTTAGGCCAGAAGGCCTTCACTTGAACAATGAATTAAAAAGACTGCACACATGCATCCTTGTATGCATGCATAGTTTAGAAGAAAGCACATATTTCTATTGGCCACCTATTGCATTTTGTGCCCTAGCTTATTAGACAATGGTATATATCAGGTAGAGATACAATTGTCTCCATCACTAAAGATCTCCATCAATGCAGAGACATTTGATAGTTCTACACCAGGCATGGGCAAACTTCAACCCTTCAGATGTTTTGGACTTTAACTCCCACAATTCCTAACAGCCTATCGGCTGTTAGGAATTGTAGGAGTTGAAGTCCAAAACACCTGAAGAGCCGAAGTTTGCTCATGCCTGCTCTACACTAATGCACATGGAAAATAAACAACATGATCTTGAACTCTTAACAAAGGACAGCAAATATTATACTGTATTTATTCAGTTCTAAGATGTACTTTCCTCCCATATAAAAATATCTGAAAATGGGGTGCATCTTCAATTGCAGGTGCATTTTGTGTATTTTTTGTTGTTGTTGTTGGTACTGAAATTAGGGTGCGTCTTACAATCAATGGAATCTTACAATTGAAGAAATATGGTATAATAAGCATCAGTGATAATGATGAGTCCCATAATTGGAACATGATAATGGCTAGGTAGGCTGTATTTTAGAGAAACAGACCAAAGAGACGGACAAAAGAGAAGGAATAGCAGTTGTCGAAGGTTTTCATGGCCAGAATCACTTGGTTTCTGTGAGTTTTCTGTGCTGTATGGCCATGTTCCAGAAGCATTCTCTCCTGAAGTTTTGCCCACATCTGTGGCAGGCATCCTCAGAAGTTGTGAGGTCTGTTGGAAACTAGCCAAGTGAAGTTTATATATCTGTAGAGTGTCCAGGGAGGAGGGAAAAACTCTTCTCTGTTTGAGGCAAGTGTGAGTGTTGCAATTGGCCACCTTGATTAGCATTCCAGACAAGAATCAATCTGGGCCAGCTAACACCTCCCAACAAAGGATTCCCCCAGGCAGGAGTTAGCCAGGCTTTGAAGCTGCAAGGCCACTCAATACTAATCAAAGTTGGCAACTGCAGCATTCACACTTGCCTCAAAGAGACAAGAGTTCTTTCTCCCACTCTGGACATTTCACAGATATACAGGGTGCAGCAGCATAATTTCCTTTTTTAAAATGCGCGCCATTCAGTTGGTTCAAGACGTAGCAGAGCACTAGTGGTCTCATTTGAAAGGTGGGAGTATAAAGTTTTGTCCTGACACAGTTCAGTCGCCATCATGCGTTGGAACAGTGAGGAGCGTGCTTTTGCCACTGAGGCCTACTTTTCGAGTGGATTTGGAGTGGCTGGCCTGCTCTCCAGATTTGGCCACTTGTGATTTTTTTCTATGGGGTTTTTTTGAAATCCCGTGTTTATGTGAACCGTCCAAGGACCCTACAAGATTTGAAGACCAACATCCAGGAAGAAATTGCCAACATAACGCCTGCTATGCTGGCAAGAGTCATGACAAACACCAGAAATCAGTTTACACAGTGTATGGAAAATGGGGGACGTCACCTACCTAATTTGATCTTCAAAACTACGTAAAACAAATGCGCCTACATTATAAAAAAAATTTAAAAATCTGATTCATACAATGGGTTTTATTAAGTTTTGAAAAAAGGAAGTTATGCTGCCTCACCCTGAATAAACCCAACTTTCCTAGTTTCCAAAAGTCCTCGCAACCTCTGAGGGTGTCTATGATAGATATGGGTGAAATGTCAGGAGAGAATGCTTCTGAAACATGGCCATACAGCTCAGAAAACTCACAGCAACCCAAGGAATAGCAGTGTTGTTTCGTGCCTTCAGGTCATTTCCAATTTATTGCAACCCTAAGGTGAACCTACCATGGTTTTGTTTGGAGGCTGAGAGTATGTGACTCAGCCATGACTGAGTGGGGATTTGAACCCTCTTCTCCAGAGCCATAGTTCTATGCTCAAACCACTACACCATGTTGCCTCTTCTTAGGCAGACTAGCTGACTCAAAGGAGAATGAATCCATATGTTTTTTTGTCTAAATTTCTGCCAACCCCTTTTCTTTGTGTGTCTAGAACCAGTCTCTCATTCTTTCATGTTTTGTCATGAATTTTTCCTATCACGGGGTTTTCTTTTGCTCAGAAGGGTTTGCTTTTGCTTCCTTCTGAATCCGAGAGAGTGTTGCTTGCCCAAGGTCACCCAGTAGGTTTCCACAGACAAGCGGCAA